AAAAAAAAAAAAAAAAAAAAAAAAAAAAAAAAGAAAAAAAAGGAAACGAACGAGTAAACATAAAATACAAGTGAAGTAAGCAAATTAAACACTAGAGAGTATATGCTAAAAGCTCGTAGATTGAAAAAAAAAAATGGTGTACTTGATCTAAAAATGTACGTCAATAAAGAAACAACTGCATTTTATCAAATTACTCTTGTCATTTGTTGTCTTTCCGCAAATTCACCTAATTCCAAAATAATTCATATTTTTTTTTAAACCGAAGGAAACATTTGATTTGGATTCGGGAAAAAAACAAAAGTAAATCTGTTTGAACGAAAAGGCTTTCATTTGCTCGCACGCGCGAGTTCGGCGTTATTTTATAGCTCGAAATAAAAGGAGACACTGGCGGGAACTTTGCCCTCGACTCAGTGCGTATCAGCTCATCTGTGAATTCACCGTAATTATGCACGTACGCGGTATATAACTCAAGCTTCGGGCCAAATCGAGTGGATCTTATTGGCCCAAAGTAAAGTAAATACCTGCACGCGTCAGTGGGCCGATAAAATTGAAAAAAAAAAAAAAAAAAAAAAAAAAAAAAAAAAAAAAAAAAAAAAAAAAAAGAAAGAAAAAGAAAAGTTAAACTAAACGAACAAAAAAAAATTTTCTATTTTTCACAGTCAAATGTTTAGACTCTAAATGTCATTTTGCAACATGATTACTGCGTATTTTCATGTTTATCGATTCGAAAAGGAAAATAATTAAAATTCATGTACATACATGTTATTACATACTTTAAATAATGAGGAAAAGCAATACTAGTCATCTAATTTACGCCAAAGTTAACTGATTGTATCTAATTAGAAAGATTATATATTATATTAAATTATATATTATATCATTATCACATCGACTGAAACGAAAAGATGATTTTTTGTATTGCGATGAGGTTTACGTTACTTTTTACTTTGCATCGTACAATCTTGTTTGTAATCTTTTATTATGAGCCGTCTTTCTCATTCAACGGAATAAGGGGAGACTGTTAAATACGAGCTTTAACTGTAATAGATGTAATTAAACACGGAAAAGTCGACGCATAATCGAAAA